CGCACCTCCAACACCAAGATCATCAGCAGTTATTGGATCACCAGCCTTACTATTTCCGACAACCATGTTACCGAGCCTTTCCCTCATATCAGCAAGAGATGTTGTAAGAGCTAAAACTGCCATAATCTCACTAGCAACTGAAATGTCGAATCCTGTTTCCCTCACCATCCCTTTCTCTTCAGGGCCCTGGCCAATAGAAATCTTCCTCAAGAATCGGTCATTTACATCCATCACTCTTCTCCAAGTGATAGAATCAGGGTCAATATCAAGCCTAGCAAATTTCTTTATCTCCTGTGGTGTGAGATCCTCGGGTTTGGTCTTGGAGATGCCAAGCTTGTTCAGGCGCCTAAACATGATGTCACTAAATGTCCGCTTTTTTTCCTTGTTTGGTGGACATAACCTGTTAAAAAGAGCTTTATCCGATTGACTTGCCTCGTGAAAAATTCTAGTGTCAATTGCAGCAGCTAGAAGATTGTTTGCTGCTGTTATTGCATGAATATCTCCTGTAAGATGAAGATTGAACTCATCCATCGGAATAACCTGACTATAACCACCACCTGCTGCACCCCCTTTGATTCCAAAGGTTGGTCCTTGTGATGGTTGACGAAGGCAGGTAACAACCTAGCATTATAACAAGATTAATATCTAACATTATTATAATATAAGGTAACCCAAAGATGCAACAAATAAATCATCATAACAAGATAATGCCACTTCAATGTCAAGCTGAAAATCTAGCCATACCTGATACGAAAAACACACAGTCTAAATAAATGGCACTCAAACCAAACTTAGCAAGCTAAAATATGCACAAGTAGTTCAACACCATTATTGACCAACTTACCGATATTAATTCTTGTTAAATAGAGCAAAAAATGGTAAGTTACGTAAAAGTGCCACCTACATTTTAGAACCTTTAATTTTTTAAGTACTCAAATTAAGAGCCCGTAGTCACTTCTTTACTAGAACATGCTTGAAATTGACTGTCACGCCATCCAAGTATCTAGTTAAGTGATTTAATTAACTCGATCACTGATATTTTAACAAACAGTAATACATAAATAGAGTGTGTGAAAATCAACTTTAAGAGCTATTTATCAAAAAATGACTATTGGTTCCTAGTTTGTAATATCTGAAAAGTACAGGTCCTAAAAAGATTCAATTAAAAGGATAGTCCTGACTTGAGACACCAAATGGATGCATAGGATACTTTTATGTGATTTAGACTAGAAACAGGGCACAGTTTTATCTAAAGCTTTGGATTAGGCAAACACCAAAATGCATAGTAACGTAAAACATGGAAGATCCTATTTCTTCATCTAAGGCTTCATGCCATTGCCAATTCACAACTCTCCTAATTGTACCTCCACATTTCTTTGTGTTGCAAACACTTAAGGCTCATCACAGCAAGGAGCCATTTAATCTTCGGTAATTACTTAATGTATGTTGAAGAAATGAACAAATATATCAGAGTAAATAGACAGTTAATATGCATGAGAGAGCTACTTAGTACATTTTAACAGAAGCTTATAAGCATTTACTACATAAAGTTAAACATTTCCAAATAGAAAACGCAATTGACCCCTTCCATAAAGTACTAGATTATGTTACTCTTGGCTAAAGCTTGAATAAAATAAGTTTGGCTTCAATGCATCTCATCATTTCAAGGCTCATACACCAATGACTGTGTTTTCTTCAATTATAAATCTATTCCACTTAATTCTCACATATAATTTTCATATTTCCGTTAATACATAGACTTTGAACATTGTTTGTATATTTTATCTCACTCCTTAACCCACATAAAAGTCTTCAAAATTGGGAATTCAATTCCCACTTCAATTCTTAGGAATTGAATTCTCACAGTCAAACAATTCAAGGTGGGATTATAAATGGTATTATACATAAAAACTATGTTCTTATCCTACATGTCGAGATTAGTATGAAGACTAGATGTAGAAATGAGATGGGAACAGAGTGGAAATCAATGAACATACAACATAACTTTTTGTTAATTTCAAACCATTATGAGCTATAAGCAAATTAAGATCAAGTTTTCATATCATGTTTCACATGCAACTGAATTTGTTTTAGCAAAAAGACTAACATAAAATGAGTAAAGGTAAAAGGGAAGATGCACCCTTGGGCATCTTATTTCGGTCACCATTTTTTTGGGTTTGGAAGGAGAGAAATATAAGAGCTTCTGAAGTAGTAAACGAAGATAATAGTTTTGACTTAATTAGGAACACATAGCTCAGGAGCCTTGCATTTTTGTTATTGGATCATACTCTGTACTTTGTGGAGGATTTAGGGAATTTTATTGACTTATTGGTATACATGTAAATATTTTGTACACGGGGTTGACACCTCCTTAGTGTCATTGTTAATAAAATTCTTGATCCTGTTTATTTATTAAAAAAAACAGGGGAAGATG